CGCGCGCCAGTCCATTCGATCAGCCTCTTGGGCCTGCGCAGCCCACTGCGAAGCCGAGCAAGCACTTTAGGCCACGCCGCCCGAATGCGAGCACGCAGGCAGGGGCGAGAAAGCCACCGCGCCACCCATTCCTTCATCATCTGCTTCTTCAGCTCGATGTCGGGGTCAGCCGCGCCACGCGTGGCCCGAATCGCGGCAGTTGAACAGCGACGTCTTTTCACGCCGGCAGCACTTGCAGCAGTGCCCCTCCTCAACGCCCAATGTCTGATGGCCGAATGCCGCAGCGGGCAACGCGCCAGTGCTGAAAAGTATCTTGGTGCTGGGCCTGGTCTGGGACAGGTTGCGACTTCTCATCGCTTTGCGTTGTCGCTTCCTGGCTTGAGCTCTCCGCTTCAGCGCGCGCTTGGACCCGCCCTTCCTGGGCGCAAGTCGACGGCAGCCCTGACATACTGCGGTGGAATGCCTTTGCTAACGGGACGGCGTTTCAACGCAACCCCGGTCCCCTCAGCGATAGCAACTCATTTAGTTGCGTCCGAAATTTGCAAACGCAGCTCCTTGGGGCCGCATGCCATCGCCCTGGCCGTGCAATCGAGACCCCCAATGACCCTCTGCTTCTGGCCCTCCGCCGGCCCGACGACGCCGCCCATGTAGCCCCGCCGCCCAGCAGGAGGGAAAGCGCGGACCACGCCATCAAGAAGATGTTGCAAGCTACCTTTAGCCATGGGAACACCACGCCCCGAACCTGCATCGATAGACCGAGAACTCACCAGCTCGCCAGAAATACTCCTGCCCTTTCCTGAGAAGCCTCGGCGAGGCGCGCAGGCCAATCTCCGGCAGCATCGCCATCGCAGGGGGGCCAATCGGGGGCCCCGCCTGCAGTAAAAGCGCGAACGTTACCGGATCGCTAAATTTGGTAGAAGGTCGAGGAAGAGCGTCGCGTTCTCGAAGGACAAGGCCTGCGCGCCCTCGCCCGTCGCGGCGCGCATCAAGGCGGCGCGAAGTGCCGGCGACCCTGCCGGAACGCCGACTTGGAAGCATACAGCATACCATTATTCACACATTCTCGCTCGGATATTCGACCACACTTTGCGCGGGGTTGGCGCGGGACCAAGAATTCTGCCACCCCCGGCTTCCTCGGGGATCGCAGCTCCAAGCGCAGATCATATGGGCGACGGCCACGCCTCACAAGGTTCGACATCATTCAACAGATCCACCAACTGCTGCCTAGCTACCAAGGGCTGTCGCTGAATCTCAATCGGGCTGGCTTTCTTTGCAGGAAGCACAGGTAACGCAGCGCCAACATCCACGATCGGGATAGGCGGGGGCTGGACCTCACGGGCCACCTGCAGTCATTGACACATCACGCGCTGAGTGTCTGAGGGGCTGCCCACGGGGCCCCGCCACATAGCATTCAATTCCAACGCAGAATGCTGCAGCATCTTTTGTTTGTCAATGGCCACCGCGCTCGACATGTCGCGACATTCCCATTCCAGAAGCCGCAGCTGCTGCACATGCCGATGCACCGCTCCTGGCTTGGAAGCCCTGGCCTCCTTGACCCATTTCCTGAATGAGGCTCTGGAGGCGACGCAGGCCCTCGACGGCGACATATCAGCCCACTTAAGAGCGCGATCGACCACATCAGTAAGTTGACCCAGCGGAACGCGACCCAAATCTGCTGCCATCTCCTTCCAACGGTCGACAACAATGGGATCTGCTTTTTTGCTAAAGTATTTGTCCCCTTTTCCCATCAGGTAGCTGCCCGACCTTGGCTTGCGCCCCGCGCGCACAGAAGGCAGCTTGATCAGAGTCGGACTGATTGTGGCGGAGAGCAACATGTCGGATGACAAGAGTACGCACGATTTACCTCCACTCAGCCTGCTTGTTCTTCAGATGGGCCCTGCCTGGAGATGCCGCGACCTTAGTAGAGTCCAGGGCCGCGTGCGCTTCCAGAGCGCGACTGCCAAGTCTCTGGGTCCATCTTCATGCGGGGGCACAGAACGTTCCAGTGCCGCAATCCAATGCGTGTAAGACGTGGCCAAGCTAGCTTCATCATCCTCCTGCCATCCGAGCACAAAGTGTTTGCCGCGATCAGTAGCAGAACACTTGCCATGGGCGCCAGCATGGGGAATCGTCGAAAAGCGAGGGCACGCCCTCCTCCAAGATCTGCTGCTTCGTTGCCGCTCAAGTCCCTTCAGGAACCGCAGACGAGACGGCGGCTGCCGATGGCCCGGCAGGCGGCCCCAGCCCCTCCAAACCCTCGTGCAGCTCAGGGGGGGGGGGGGGGAGGGGGGGGGCATGAAGGCGACGCTGCCGTTGCTCCTTTCGCATCTTCGCCATTTTGCTCTCAGGGCCAGGCGCGGCGCGAGGGCGCTCGCGAGCGAGATGCGGCTTCGAAAAAGCCGGATGCCGATGCCACCTCTGAGCACGTGCAGCTTCGACCGTAATAACAGCTCCACACTGGTTTCCATGGGGCACGGAGCTCCGCATGCAAGCTCAGCCTTGGGCACCCCGCGCTCATCAAACCATAGTCATACATGCGCCCTGGGCCTGTGCCGCGCGCGGCCAGACAGCTCGGCGCGATGATGGTAGCGCCCAGATTGGTAAGCCAGCCCGCGGCAACGAAGGCGCTGTGCTCAATGTTCCAGTCGGCCACGATGAACCAGGGGTTCGCAAGGGCCCTCGTGAAGGGCCCCATGGCAACGAGCACATCGTCGTTCCAGCCTCTCACGCCAAGTCCAGGCAGCAGGCGCGCCGCAACTGGCGCGAAGTTGCTCTCCTCGCGCGCGGGGCTGTCGGCGCAAACCCACGGCAAGGGCCTTGGCGCCCTGCTGACCGAGCTGCGGCCCGAGTGCTCTCAACATTCGTACCTGCAATATGCTTCTTGGTGCATTCGCCGCCCGGCGGTCCAGTCTCGGAGCGACCAGACGGGCGTGCATCTTAATGCGCCATCCACCAGCCATTTTTATCCATCGACTGGCAGAAAGCTTGCATGTCATTCTCACCCGCGTGCATTTGAACGAGGTCACCACTTTGCGCTCCTGCTCCTGGACTAAGAACTTAGCAGCCTGAGGCCCCCACTCCGCAATGCTGCCGAAGAAGATGTCCAAGGAACCCTGGGCCTCGTGCGTGTGCTGCTGCGGGCGCGGCATCTGCAGGAGCTGGACGTGACTTGCCGTCAAAGGCGAGTCGCGCCATCACTAGGAGCAGCAGCCGCCGCGCCTTTGCCTTTGCCGGCAGCAAGGCCCTTGCCCTTGCCAGCCTTAGCAGCGGCCTCCGTGGCAGAGGCCTGGGCATTGTCCTTGGTGCGTTGCAGCATTGCAGCATGACCCTCTGCTCATTCTCGGGGACGATCTGCTTGACCTTCTTGGGGGCCGCCGTCGGCCCCAGCAGCTGACGCAGCCGCCGAGCCAGCGCCAAGGGGGGGCCCCGGAGCCTTCCTCGCCCCCTGGGCCCGAGTTGCCCGCGACGTCCCGCGTGCGCCTCTTGGCGGCTGCCTCCGCGCGCGCCGCTCTTGCCTTGTCGAGCAGCGCTTGGAACTCCTTCTGCTTGGCCTCCGCTTGCCTGGTGACTTCCAGCAGCTGACATTGGAAGGCCTCGCGAGCGGCCTTGTCCTCGGCCCCCAGCTTGCCCATACTCTCGAAGAGGGCAGGGTCCACCTCGAACGGCTGCGACTGCTGTGAGCCACCCTTGCCCCTTGTCTCAGGCGGGGCAACATGTTCCTGAGCCTCCAGGCGGCGCAGCTCCGCGGCCATGACCTCGTCCGCCGCCTCGTCGGACTTCTTCTGAGCCTTATCGAGAAATTGACGGGCGTGCTCCAAACTCTTGGCGGCTTTCTCCAGCGCCTCCTGCTTGCGTGGACAGTCAGCCGTAGCCTCCTTGAGCAAGGCGTGCGCAGGCTTGGGAGCGGGGGCCGCCGACTGCTCCTTCGAGGACGCGAGCGCGGTGAACTCCGAAGCCAAGCGGACAGCATCTGGATCTGACTGGAGCCCAACACCCGCGAGCGTCTGCGACAGGTAGCCGCCCAGGTTCGCGAGGGACGGGGCGCGCTGCGAAGACAGGCCGCCATAATGCCCCGCGCCGCTCGCCCATGGCGCCCACCACGTGCCGATGGGAGACGTGGGCCAGCCTGGCATGGGCGTCTGGCACACCGCGCAAGCGCCATTCTGCCTCTTGAGCCTCCAGTTCCACGCCCAATTGCCGCAATGAACGCAGGTCGAGAAGCCACGCTTCGAAGACTGAGGCATCTGCTCCAGCAGGAGCTCACATAACTTGCTGTACCTGGCTGGGCAGACAGCCAGGAAATACGACGTACACTAGCCGAAGTGCAGACCGTGTGCGCGGGCACGGGGTCGCAGGCGGGGGCGCACCTCCCCCGTGCCAAACTCAAATCCTCAGAGTCTCCCGCTACGGACTTGAGCCGACATGGCTACGGAGGTGGTGGTGGTGGTGGTGGTGGTGGTGGTGGTGGTGGTGGTGGTGGTGGTGGTGGTGGTGGTGTGGTGGTGGTGGTGGTGCCGCTGCGCAGCGAGCCCTGGAAGTCTGGGCTCGGGCAGGGCGAGCGAGGCTTTGCCTGATCTTGTGGTGGCTTCGGCTCCGGACCTAGGGGATATGCCCCGGCCGAGCTGCCCGGCCAAGCGCGCCAAGGGGAGAGGCGGGCTCAACCGGGGCACCATGTGCACCTCCCGCGTGCTCCTCATCCATACCGAGGTCGAGGTCGGGATCGCAGAGGAGGAGGAAGAGGAAGAAAACGAGGAGGAGGAGGGGGAGGAGGAGGGAAAAGGAGGGATGAGGAGGGAAGTAGGGAGGGAGGGAGGGAAACAGGTACGCAGGAGGAGGAGGAGGAGGAGGAGGAGGAGGAGGAGGAGGAGGACGAAGACGAGGACGAGGACGAGGACGAGGACGAGGACGAGGACGAGGACGAGGACGAGGACGAGGAGGAGGAGGAGGAGGAGGAGGTGGAGGAGGAGGAGGAGGAGGAAGAGGAGGGGGAAGCCCGCGAGGCCGTGCAGGGCAGCCGCCGTGCGGTCGAGCGGCCCTGGCGGGAGCGGCGGCGCTCGTCGGCGGCGGCCGCCTCGGCCTCGGAGTTCGCGCACCAGCTGGCGCCCGCCCTGCGGCCTAGGGCCTGGGTGGCTCCGGGCGGGCGGGCTTCTGAAGCAGCGGCGGCGCGCTCGGCGTGTGCCGTGGGCGGGGAGCACGGCGCCTGCCCTCGGAGGTGGCCCTTCACGGGGGGAGCGCTGTGCTCCCTCGCGCCCGCCCTCGGCCCCTGTGCTTGCGTCCGCTCGGGTCCCGTCCCTCGCTCCCCCCCTCTCTCCCTCCCTCCCTCCCTCTCGCCCGTCTGTCCCCCCCCCCCCCTCTCTCTCGTTCCGTCCCTCTCTGTTTCTTCTCCTGTCTTGTTATTTTTCTCTCTCTCTCTCTCAGTTTCTATTTTTGTTGTTCTCTCTCTCTTTCTCTCTCTCTTTCTCTCTCTTTCTTTTTCCCCTAGCCCGCAGCCCCGGCACGCACCTGACTTTGAGGTGCGTGCCCACCGGGGCTAGGGGCGTCGCGGCGGAGCGGAATGTGCTGGCGGGCAGGGGCGGCCGGCCCCGAGAGAGAGAGAGAGAAGGAGCGGAGGACGGGAAAGGACTGGAGGGGGGCGGGGTGGACGGGGGGCGGTCGTCGTCGTCGGGGGCCTCACCTGTCGTGGTCTCCGCGGTGGTCGTCGGCGCCGCAGTCGTGGGTCGTCGAGGGGGCGCGTCGCCATGCTGCCGGGGTGGGCGCAAGCGCCGCCGTCGACGCGGCATTGCCCGCCGTTGCTGTCGGGGTCGCTGCGCGTCCCTGTCCGATGTTGTCCACGTCCTGGCTTCGTCTTGAGTGCCTCGCGTCGGCAGGCGCCCGAGTACATCTGGCACCTGTGCCGTGGGCCGTACGTGCATCCGACCGCGGTGTCGGTGCGGGAGTTCCTGCTGCAGAGCGAGGCGCGCCCTGCCGATGTCGCGCCCTGCATGTTTCCTCCACGGAGGGGAGAAGAGCGAGGAGGAGGGTCGATGAAGAACAGACCGCATGAGCAGAAACTGCTGGAGGTCCGCGCGGATTGCTATCTTGGACCAGCGCCCGGGTCTCCAGGGCAGCGCCTCCGGCGCCGCCCATGGCTTGCTCCGCGCGCCAGGGAGGGGGGGGACCCAGGCGCCGATCCAAGATTAATACGTGACCTCCGAAAGTTTACATTGTCTGTGCCGCCTTTGGATCTGCCATTCCCTGGTCCTCTGCCCCTCCTTCGTCTCCTCCTCCCTGACCATTCCCTTCATGCTCTCCTTCCTCCCTTACACCCCCCCGAGTCGTCCCTCAATTCTTCCCCCAGTGGAACTGATCCCTCTTTGCCAGCTTCTGTGTATCTCTACTGACTCTGGTTAGGGGCCATGCCGCTGTAAATTGATCAGGTGGGAGTCTCACTCAATTCTGAATGTGACCTAGGTCCTTGGCGCCATAAACAGCTGGCAGCATCCCTGTTCCCAAATGTGTGTGTGTGTGCGTGTTAGATCCTGATACTCAGCAATTCGTCGTTCTCCTAGACAGTGTGATGCTAACCTGGAGACCCCAGCATTCCTGTGGAACCTTACGTGAGGAGGACCCCGTGTGTGTGTGTACTTGTGTGTGTGTGCGGAAGATCGTGTGTGGAAGCCATCAAAGGGGTCAACAGAACCACCGATGCGTACGAGGCACAGGGCCAGCGGGATGGGAAGTCCTCGGCGTCCGAGCGGCCACCGAGCGAGCAAGAGGGCGGCACGCAGAGCCACCGGGGCGGGGCGTCGCAGGGGCCGAGGCTCGGGAGACGGGGGTCGATGCAAACAAAGGTCAGCCAGAGCGCCTCCTCCTCCTCCTCATCCTCCTCCTCCTCCTCCTCCTCCTCCTCCTCCTCCTCCGACCCTGCAGTATTCAAGGGAGGAAAAACCACCCAGACCGGACAAATGGCGTTTACTGAACGGCCCTGGGCGTTCACTAGGCAGCCCCCTGCCCTGCTCGATTCCTTCAGTGGGGGCGTTTTTACTAAACGGCCTCGCTTGTCGGGGTGGTTCTCCTAGAGGTGGAGTTTCTGCCCTCTTATGCAGGGCCAGGGGCGCATTGACCCAGGCTCGGGTGCAGGATCCTGCAGGATCTCGCAGGGTCCCGCAGCGCCCGACGGGCCCGGATCTGGACTCACCCGGGTTTCTGTAGACCCCCGGAGGGGTCCGAGCGGCCAGCGGAGAGCGAGGCCAGCAGGGCCAGAGATCTGCAGGGCGAAGCTGCGAGCCCCCGCGTGGAGTGCAAGCGGTGCTCGGGGCCCGCAGGCGAGGCCCCAGGAGCTTCCGCGGGCGTAGCGGCCTCGGCCTGGAAGGGGGTGGCCGCCAGTCTCCACGTGCCTCGCCTCCCTGTTTCGTCTGCGGCATTCCTCCCTCCTCCTGCCCGGAGAGGGGGCTCCTCGGAGATTCAAGCAGACAAGTTCCTCGACCTGCTCATGCAATGGCTCCCGACTCAAGCTGACACTCCGACAGAAAGGGAGCTGGTGTTTACGTAGACACTTTCAACTTAGCTTGTGGCCAGAATTGCTTCGGTGAGCCGTGCCCGCGCGCACACTCGCGCGCGCACGCACGCATGCACAAACACAGACACGTGCACACACACACACACACACACACACGCACGCACGCACGCACGCACGCACGCACGCACGCACGCACGCACGCACGCACGCACGCACGCACGCACGCACGCACGCACGCACGCACGCACGCACGCACGCACGCACGCACGCACGCACGCACGCACGCACGCACGCACGCACGCACGCACGCACGCACGCACGCACGCACGCACGCACGCGCGCACGCACGCACGCACGCACGCACGCACGCACACACACACACACACACACAGACACACACACACACACATTTTGGCAGTCGCGGCCTCGCGCGCGGAGACGAGGCGGAGTACGGTCAACCCGCATAGTAAGGATGGGCAACCTTCCCAAGGGTACCCTTGCATCCGTGCCTCCTCGGTCCATCCTTGGACAGTTTCGCTGGCCGCGTTGTGCCCGAAAAGCTTCGAAATGGCCCTCCAAGGCCCTTGCATCCTTATCGCGCATCCTTACTATACTGGTTGACTGAAAGTTGAAGAGCGGCGGGAGCTTGCGCGCGCGGCTGGGCCCTCAGGCGGGATCGCCTCGCCTGAGGGCGCAGCCGCGGCGCTGCTGGCCTCAGCATCGTCTAACTTATCCCCATGCGGCATCGTGGGGCTGGGGCACTGTGGCCCAGTGGGCATGGGCCATGCCTACTGGGCCATAGTGCCCCAGCCCCACCAGCCCACCCTGCTAGGTAGGGATAGGCCCCAGGAACAGCATATGTGATCCCCGGTCGAGGGTTCACAGCCCCCCCCCCCGATGGGATTGGTCCCAGGGTTCCACAGCCCCCCCCCCCCCCAGATGGGATTGGGGGGACGACGACGCGACGACGACGACGCCGACGAACACAACGCCGACGCCGACGCTGACGCCGACGCGGTCTACTACGACGCCGACGACGCCGACGACGACGCCGACGACGACGTCGACGTCGACGACGACGCGGACGCCGACGCCGACGCCGACGGCGACGCCGACGCCGACGCTGACGCCGACGCCGCCGCCGCCGACGACGACGACGACGCCGACGCCGACCGAAGACGACGACGACCGAAGACGACGACGACGCCAGCGCCGACGGAAAACGACGGCGACGCCGTCGTCGACGGAAGACGACGACAACGGAAGACGACGCTGGCGCCGACGGAAGACGACGACTACGACGACGACGACGACGAATCACCCCACACCCACGGTGGGGAGCACTGGCACCCTCCAGCACGCCACGCCCACAGGGCCATGACCACAGGGGAGCAGGGAGCGCTCCCATGCGTGTGGCCTTCGCCAGGCTCGCGGGCGTTCCCATCCAGGGGGGGGAGGGTTCGTATGCATTTGGGGGTGTGTAACCCTGGATCATACATCTATATATATATATATATATAACAATACATAAGCATACATCGATATATCTATACATGTGGTGTTTATGTACATTCTGTATCCCTACCTGCGGGGGGGGTAGCCCAGCCAGTGGGGCCAAGGCCACGCAGGTGGGAATGGGGATGGGTGAAACGATGCTCATGGCCGCGCTTCTGCCCGCTCGCGGTCCGCCCGGGCCGAGCGCGGCCCAGTTCTGGCGCGCTGCTCCCCGCGCGCCTCGTCGTTCACGCCTGCTCCTGCTGCACGGCAGGTGCGCGCCGTGCCGCCCGGCGGCGACCTCGCCGCGGGCGGCCACGGTGGGAGGCCGCCGGGGGCCCAGGACCGGGCAGGCTGGAGCGACCTGGCGATCGAGGCTACGCCGATCGCTCGAGGCTGAAGGATCCACGCGGTGTCACAGACCAACGCCAGGGCCTCCACGACACGAGCCTGCCGTCGTAGAGGGCCAGGGTGGCGAAGGGGGTGCCTCTCGGATCGATCCCGGGGCCCAGGCTCGGCCGACGTGGAGCGATCTGGCGATCGAGAAGACGCCGATCGCTCAAGGTCGAACGATCCACGCGGTATCACAAACCAACGCCGGGGTCGCCACGGCACGAAGCCGCCGTATTGGGGTTCAGCCTTCTGGGGGCCCGGCGAAGGGGAGCCTATAGTATCTCTTGCGATTCGTTTCCCCCTGGGGCAGCGCACTCTTCAAGCAGTATTGATTTCCTTTGGACCGTGCCCCGGCTCCTCCCGCAAGGACTGGATGGTCATGGCTTTCTACGACGCGTCCGGCACCCCCGTGCCGCAGCCGCCCCCGCTCTTGTGCCGCCCCCAGCGCGAGAGCGGCGCGGGACGCAACACTTGGAGAGGGTGATGATGTTGGTGTTGGTGTTGGTGATGATGATGATGCTGATGATAATGCTGACGAGAAGGATAAGGATGAGGACGATGATGATGGTGGTGCTGATGCTGATGGTGATGGTGATGGTGATTATGATGATGATGATGATGATGACGATGATGATGATGAATATGGTGATGGTCGCAGATCAATGCTAGTGATTGTAATGATGACGATGACGATGACGATGACGACGTGATGATAATGATGGTGATGAGGATGAGGATGATAGTGATGATGATGACGACGATTCTGAGAATGGTGATGATGATGATGATGCGGATGCTGAGGATTATGACGAAGATGATGATAATGTCTATGATGATGATGATGATGCTGTTGAGGTTATTGATGATGATGATGATGATGATGATGATGATGATGATGACGGTGACGATGACGGTGATGGTGACGATGAGGATACTGATGAGGATGAGGATGATGACGATGACGACGATGGTATGGTGATGGTGATGGTGGTGATGATGAGATGATGCTGATGATGATGCTGATGATGATTATGATGATGATGATGATGATGATGATGATGAGTATGGTGATTCGCTGCTAATGCTGATGGCGATGCTGATGCTGATGCTGATGCTGATGCTGATGCTGATGCTGATGACGACGATGCTGATGATGATTACGATGGTGGTGATGGTGATGATGATGCTGATAATGACGCTGATGATCGAGATGGTAATCATGATGATGAGACTTCTGAAGAGCAGGACAGAGATGATGCGGATGATGATGATGCTGCTGATGATGATGGCGGTGAGGATTGCGTAGATGGTGTTGTTGCTGGGCCATGTTGCTGGTGATGCTAATGATGATGCTAATGATGTTGCTGACTTTGGGGATAACTATGATGATGATGGTGACATTGATGATGCTGATGATGATGAGTATGATGCTGACACTTATGCTTGTGATGATGCTGATGCTGATGATGCTGATGAGGATAATGATGATGATGACGATGCTGATACTGTATATGGTGATGTTGATGACGATGATGACGACGGTAATGCTGATACTGATGCTGATGATGCCGGTGAGTATGGTGATGTGTGGTTGCGGATGATGTGTCCCATGCTGATGTTGTGTAAGATGATGATGTTGATGTTGCGGATGATGATGCGAATGATGATGATGATGATGATGATGATGATGATGATGATGATGATGATGATGATGATGATGATGATGATGATGATGATGATTATGACTATGGTGATGATGATGTTGATGCTGATGCTGATGATGCTGATGATGATGATGCTGATGCTGATGCTGATGCCAATGATGAAGCGCTTGCTGCTGCTGCTGATGGTCATGATGGTGAGGATGACAAGAATATGGAGGATGGTGACGACGATTATGATGAACATGACGATGAGGAGGAGGGGGACGACGATGAAGAGGTTCGGGAGACGGACTGAGCAATGAGGAAGTGGAGGAGGAGAAGGAGGAGGAGGAGGAGGCAGGCATCGAAGAAGGAGGAATTGAGGGAGGGACAGAGGTAGGCGGTGAAGGTCTGGGCTGGACTTCAAGTTGTTGCGACGGCGCTGGCCAGGGACTTTGCATGGGCCAGCCTTCCAAGGCCCTCGACGCGCACGGTCCTCCGCGACGGACCGCGAGATTTCGCCGCGAGGGCCCTGGAGAAGAAACCGATACTGCATCCCCCTGTGGCCTGGGCACAAGGTATCTCAGCCGCCATGAGAGAAACGGGTGCTGAGGGAAACGGGTCCTCAGGTTTTTCTCCATTTTCGGGCTCTCGGGGCCTTCCACGGGCCCCAGGACTGTCAGGAAACGACTCAGGATGAAAAATGCGTCCTGGGGGAAGGCCCCAGGGTCCAGGACCCGTTTCCCTCAGGACCCGGTCCCCTCATGCTAATTCAACTCCCGCGATAGGTGGATCCTCTCTGTTCCAACACCTACCAGATCACCAAGCGGGGGACGTGAGCTAGGCAGTGAGGGGATGAGGTGGAGGACGAGGAGGTGTGGGGAGAGGAGGAGGAGTGCGGGGTGAGAAGGAAGAAGGAGGATGCGGCAGGGGGGAGCACAGGAGGGAGGGAGTTAGGAGGCAGGCAGGCTGGGAGGGATGCGGGAGGGAGGAAGCGCGGAGCAGGAGGGAGGGCGGAGTAGGAGGAGGGGGACAAGGGAGCAGCAGCAGCAGGAGGAGGAGGAGAGGGAGCAGGAGTCTTGGACCAGGGGAAGGCGCAGAGGTTCAGGAGGAGGGGGAAGGCTGATCGTCCTTCCCGTTCCTGCTCCCCCATTCCTCGTCCCTCCTCCCTCCTCAGGAGGAGGAGGAGGAGGAGGAGGAGGAGGAGGAGGAGGAGGAGGAGGAGGAGGAGGAGAAGCAGAGAGTGGATCTGGCGGGCCGCCGCCGAGGCACCGGCTGGCCTTCGAGTCGGACGCCTTCCGCCGGAGGTCCATGTTCGACGGCGTCGCGCCGAGCAAGGCGGGCCAGAGCCACGAGTTGGGCTTCGGGAGGGGGGGGGCGAGCTGGAGGCGGAGGAGGGGGAAGCGGGGGAGGGAGAGCGGGAGGGGAGAAAAGGGGGAAGAGGGGGAGGGAGGGCGAGGGGGAGGGACAGTCGGAGGCGACGGAGGAGGAGCCAGGAGGACGGGGAGGCGGATGACTGAGGACAGGCAGCAGAGATGCCACCCTGAGGCTTCCCGACGGCGTCTTCTGATCCCCTGGGAAGCGGTCATGTTGGCCGCCGCCTGGCAGGGCTTGTACGACGGGTCGAGGACCAGCAAGAATCATGATAGGAGTGATAATTAAGAACACTGATAGTGATGATAGGTAATGGTGGTATTCAGAGAGACGAGATGGGATGTGTCTCGGCCGGCGGCACCGCGCAGGCAGATTGGTGGGCGTTTTCGCAGCGCTTCGTGGACGGCCTCGCCTCGTGTGGCGTGAAGCCCCGCGTTGTTGGCAACCCCGCCGGAGAAGAATGCACAGTGAGGAGAAGGGGGAGGAGGACAAAGAGTAGGCTAGAGGACGGCGACGCCAACGAGGTTGGGAGGAGGAGGAGGAGGAGACAGAGGAATAAGATGAGAAGGAGGAGGCGCAGAAGGAGGAGCATGGCAGGATATGGGCCAGGAGGAGAAGGACTAGGACGAAGAAGAGGCGGGTGATCAGCGCCAGCACTGGCAGCAGCGGTGGCCTCAGCGGCGGCCCTACCCGAGGCTCTTGAAGAGAAGGAGGCTCGAGATGAAGAGGGCCGGCGGGGAGCGCCGAGTCGCTGGCCTGCATGGAGCGATGGAGGATCAGGAGGAGGAGGAGGAGGAGCAAGCAACGAGAGCCCGAGAGTGGAGCGTGGGGCTGGCGCAGAGGGGCGTGCGCAGGCAGCAGCTGCCAGAGGCAGGATTGGGCTCCCCCTCCGCTTGCTTCCCTCCGTCCCTCGGCTGCTTCCGCTCCTCTCGTCGTCCCTTCCCCTGCCCTCCCCCCCAGCTGTCTCTTCCTCGTCATCGCCCTCCTCCTCCTCCTCATTCCCCCTTCCTCTTCGCTGCTGGTTCCTCCATTCCTCCTTGCCCGCCTCCGCCTCGCCTCCTCCGCTCCCTTCTTCGACTCCGCCGAAGCTCCCGCTTCCTCACCCTTTTACCATTTTTTCTCCTGCTCCCTCGTCATACCAAACCAGGCTCTCTTCAGCGGAGGTATTGCCCGTGTTATCACGCCCTTCCTCCCCCGCCTGAGGCGACGCTGGCATCGTAAGGCCGTTCCCAGTATGAAGAACGATCATACATCGTCTTATCATCCTCCTCTCTCCTCCTCGTACGTATGTGTTGTGTTTTCATATAGCCCTTGATGTTTGCGTTTTGTGTGCATATGCATGGCGACGTTTTTATTTTACATGCTGATATGTCTTACCCTGCCTCTGTGTCTCTCCCTCTCTCTCTCTCTTTCTACCTCTCTTACTCATCTGCGCCTCCATTCCGCCTCTACCTTCCTCTCCCTCTCTCTCTCTCTCTCCCTCTTTTCCGCCTCTTCCTCGCTCCCTCCTCATTCACTGCGTTGGCCAGTGTCGGGTAAGGGAAGATCGCGCACTTCTCGCACTTGCCTTAACATCCCCCCACCCCTTTCTTCCCCTGATTGTTCTGCGGTGGGCAGGGAGTTTGATCAATGCCAACCCGACCCTTCTCCTTCTCCTTCTAGTTGCGCCACTTTCTTTATGGGGGAAGTTACGACCGATCAAACATGACACGTGTGTGCATCACTCTCTTTCGAAGCAGGCCCGCGACCAACGAGACAGCAACCAGAGCAGCCGGACAACACCCGAGGCTCGCACGCCCAGACCAGGGGTCACAGGGGTCGCGCAGAATTTCTGACTCGCTCTCCTGCGTTGACCTCCTCCCCCCCTCCCTCCCCGAGGCTCGGCGTGCCTCCCCCCCCCGGCGTGCGGTGGCTTCCCCCCCGGGATGCGGGGGCGGCGCGGCGAGGCTTGCACGGCCGGGACAACCCCGTCATCACGCCCTCGGACATCGCGGCCCCGCCCGCGGAACAGACCCTGGCGTGCGCCGCCGGACGGGGAGCTGCTGAGGGAGGGGGGCGAGCAGCAGCGGCAGGAACAGCTCGGGGGGGGGGGGGAGGTACGGACTGCGAGACTCTTCCCCTGTCGTCAAGGCTGGATTCGCCGCAAGAGTTTGGTCAGAGCGGGCTCTGGGAGAGGTCCGAGGAGCAACGGTATCGGCATCGTTTTGCACCCTCCCCCCCCTGACCAGGAGCAGGCGGCAGTGCGCAGGTTCTGGTAGGATTGATATGGAAAGGCAGAGGCAAACGTGCAGGTCTCAGGTCTTTGTTGTCGCGATAGTCCTTTTCCACGCCAACCGCATTTGACCGCCCGATGCTCAAATTGTCTGGATGTTCTGTCAACGATTGCAGCAAAATGGTGTGTCTTGTCGGTTTAATGGAGCAGTGCCCATGCACAGCTGTTCGAGTGATGCGGGGAGGCGATACGCATGCTAACTGGTTGGGACATATTCCTATTATGGATGTCATGCTGCTCTTGATCTTGTTATCCCATGCTCCCGCTGTTGTCCCTCTCCACCTCGGACGCCGCATTATCTGTCTCCACTTCTTCCACAGCTTCCTCATCCTCCCTCTCCTCCCCTTCCTTATCCCCCTCCTGCACCTTCTTCCCTTCCCCATCTTCTCCCCTCCCTACCTGCTCGACCTCACACGTCTCTCCTCTTGCACATCCCGCTCCTCGTCGTCGTCCTACTTCTTCTGTTCCTTCTCTCGTTATTGTCCACTTCCTCCCATTCCTCTGCCTCCCCCTCCTCTGCCTCCCCCTCGTCTGCCTCCTCATCCTCCTCCGCCCCCCCCCACCTCCCCCTTTTGTCCCCGCCTTTCCTTGTCGACCTTCTTGTTCGCTCTCCTCTGCCATGGCAGACCGCTCCCAGGGGCCAGAGGGAGAGGGGCCAGAACAGTGGGGACGGTAATGTCGCGACCCGCGTGGAGGCCCGCATATTTCAAGATGCTGGAAGGTCCAGGGCGGAACGGGTGGACTGACGCGGCCAGCCGAGCCCGGAGGGGCTGAATGTGAGGAGCGAGCGCTGTCACACGGAGGGCAGATCTTGGAGCTTCGCGCTCGAAGAGTGCCTGCGGCGAGGAGGCTGCCGTCTGTCTGGACTTCGTAGGGCGCGCCTGTCCAGCCAGACGTGGCTCGACAGCACTGCCCCTGCACAAATGACAGTCATCATGCCCACCCACGCGTCTCGTCTTATCGCTCCCGCTCCCACAGTCGATGCTCGTACTCTGGGGGTCCTACCTGTCAGTCTCGCTCAACCAATCCCCGTCCCCCATCGGGCCATGGTATCTCAGCCCCACCATCACGTCGCCCCAGTGGGGGGTATACCCCCCGAGGCCCAAAGGGAACAGCCTATATCGCCATCTAGGAGGGTGCGTTGGCCAGTGGGGCCCAGGCCACGCCAGTGGGGATGAGGATCGGTTTAACCCAGCACCTCAGGTCACAAAGCTTTCCCCCCTTACTCAATCCTTAATCCCTGAGAGTTGATTCTTATCTTGGGCCAAGACCGAGTTGATCAGGGAGAAAAGCTCGGGGCCACCTCGGACTCTTTTTGGCCCCCCTATGGAGTGGGCAACGGCCCATGTTGCAGATGCGGGTGGTGCACGACAGACCGATCGTGAGTCCTGATGAGTCCTGATCTATCAGACTCATTGAGATTTGAAACCAGTTATGGTCAGTGTATAAGAGAGAAGCCCTTCCACAGGAGCAACGGCAGGGGGAGGCTGGCCCAAGGGGGGGAGGACATCAACCCCCAATCGCCCACTCATTGGCAGAACGGGGCCTCAGCGCCATTTCTTGCCCAGGAGTGTCTGGCTTCGCGATCGGGGGCCTATCGCCGATCTGTCGGCGATGTGTCGCCGATTCTAGTTCATTGGCTCCCCCCTTGACCAGTCTACCGCAGTCGCTCCCCCTGAGCAGTGTCCCCCCGCCCTCGATTTTACGGCTCCACGGTCTTCACGGAATTGTTCATGACCCAAGCGTGTTGGATTCAAGACGTGCACATGGCGCTCACGCGCCTCCAGGCGACCCACGCGGGGGCCGAGCGATCCACGATGGGGGCCCTTTGCTTCTCCTCCCCAAACCCCCCTCCTCTCCGCCCGCACCCCTTTTCCTGACCCTCGGAACCCGTTGGGGACGGGAGGGCAGGGCTCCACCCCGTGGCGCGCCCATGTTGCCTTTGTCATGTCTCGTCCGCACGGAGTGTCCATTCCCAGATTTCCAATGCCCTGGTCTTGTTCCTCAGCCCGAAACCCCAGCCCTTGTCACGCTGCGCAGACACTCGCAGCAGCACAGCACCAGAGAACATCATCATCATCCTCATCATCATCCTCACCATCATCATCATCATCATCATCATCATCATCATCATCATCAGCATCATCATCATCATCATCATCATCATCATCATCATCATCATCATCATCCTCACCATCATCATCATCATCATCATCATCATCATCATCATCATCATCATCATCATCATCATCATCATCTTCATCTTCATCTTCATCTTCATCTTCATCATCATCATCATCATCATCATCATCATCAGCATCATCAGCAGCATCATCATCATCATCATCATCATCATCGACCAGTTCCCCGGGGCTGGCTTGTCTCCCCGAGCCGCTTGTCGGCGGCTGCGGGGCCCGGCGAGGGCCGCCAGAGGCCGACGGCTGGGAGGCGTCTCCGGGCACGCTCTCCGCCTGCGCCCCCCCCGTGCCCGGCCCGCGGCGCCGCCCCAGCAGTTGGGTTGCGCGCGCCCCCTCCGGCGGGGCGCGCGCCGGGTCCGTGGCCCCGCGCCCGTCTGCCCCCCAGCGGGGCGACGCGGGCCTCGCGGCGGCGGGGGGGCGGCAACCGTTACGGCGGGGGGGGGGGGGGAGGAGGGGAAGGGGGGGGGGAGGAGGGGAAGGGGGGAGGCAGCAGAGTCTGGAGCGTCTTTTTTGCGGGTCTTCGGCGGTCTTCCAGTCTCGGGATGCCTTCCAGTTGCTGCGCCTCGCCGAGAGCGTTCCGAGGGTGCCCGCATCGTCCCGAAAGGCATCCGGAGGCCGGAGTGTGTCCTGGAAGCCACCGGGCGCCGAAGGGAGGGGTCAGGAATCGGAGGGAGGAGAAGCGATACCAACACCACCAGGGGGCCCACCTCCAGCGAGGAGGTGCACAAAGCTTCCCCGAGCGGGAGATTGGGGATGTCTCGAGCGAGAGGGGGGGACCACACCACCAGGGAGACCCCCCTTGCCTCCGCGCATCTCCTCGCCCTGTTGGTGTTGGTGCCCGCCCGAGGCCCCGCCTTCCTGCGCCCTGTCTCCCTAATTAAAGCTGCGCGTAGCCCGCCTAGCTTTTAGCGGAAGAGGTTCGCTCTCGCCCCGTCGACCAAAAAATGGTGTTGGTGTCGCTTTTCCTTGTTCCTAAGGAATGGGCGGGGGCCGAGGGTCGCGCCGCATCGGCGATGCGGCTCGGTGTGGATCCCGATGTCTCCACGCCATCGTCGTCGCTGAACCGCCGATGTCACCGATGCTTCGCGGCGATGCGGTGCGATCCTCCAGCCCCACCTGCTCGGACCCCGCCTGGGAGGCCTCTGTGAGAGCAGGGGTGCCGAGGAAGAGGGAAGGGTGACGAGAGGGGGATGGCCAATTGTGATCAGGGGCAGCGTCGGTGGGTCCCCCGCTCGCCCATTCATCGCCGATCGGCCTGCCCGGGAACGTGCGGTTTCGCAGTCGGGGACATGTCGCCGATCCGTCGGCGACACGTTATCCCCGATTCCAGGTCGATGTTTCCCCCCCCCCCCCCCCGGCCAGTCCCTCGCTTCCCCCCTCAGGCAGGGTCGGGGGAGCTCCTGCTCAGTCCTCCACCCAGGGCCCACTTCGATTCGGTCGCCCAGCTCGATCCGGTCCGAATTCGATCTTCCGACGACCGTGTGCGGCCCGACGCTTGTTCGGCGCAGTAAAGTGTTCGACGTTGATTCCCCTCGAATGCTGTCCGGTCCGATGCACGCGTCGATCCGATCCTTCGATTTCGCAATTCGGTGATGACAGATTCCGAGGGGGAGGGGGGGGAGGGGGATGTGGAGGAGAGGGCGAAGGACGGGGAGGGCCAGCTCCATGGTGGGGGGGGGGGGGAAGGAGGAGGAGGGGTCAGAGAGAGGGGAAGGGGCAGGGCTGGAGAGGAAGAGGGGAGGAGGGGATTGCAGGAAGGGGATGCGAGAGGGGCATGATGGGGAGAGAAAGGAGGCCGCGAGGGTGGGAGGGGAGGGTGGTGGAGTTTGGGAGGGATGGGAGGAGAGAGAGAGAGAGAGAGAGAAAAACAACAAAACACTAAGAGGAGGGGCAGGGGAGGGTCTTTCAGGCGGCATGCGGTGACGGCGAGATAGGTTCTCCCGATTCTCACCGAGCGGCAGCAGGGACTTGGGCCAGCCGAGGGCGTCCACGGTGCGAGGAGCGGGCCAGCCCTCCCACCCGTCGTGGGGTGGAAGGATCCACGGTGCAGGCCCTCCGAAGAACTCTCGGCTGGCCGAGCCGTCGACTCCTATCTCACTGCCCGCAGTGGGCTCACAGGATGCGCCCATCGTTCCCCGACACCCAGCGCACTACAAACAACTGTCTTGGCGAAGGACCCAACCATGCGCAATTATGACAGACCGCGTTGTGGCTACCGCTGTCGGTGGAGCCCCCTAGGGGGCCAGGAACCGTGTGAGGGGTGTGCCAAAATGGGCGTCGGGCGCATGCGGCCTGTGCCACTGGGGCCTTCGGTGCAGCTCCCTTAGGTGTGTGTGTGTGTGCGTGTGCGTGTGCGTGTGCGTGTGCGTGTGCGTGTGTGTGTGTGTGTGTGTGTGTGTGTGTGTGTGTGTGTGTGTGTGTGTGTGTGTGTGTGTGTGTGCGTGTGTGTGCCAACATGGGCGTCAGTCGCATGCGGCCTGTGCCACTGGGGTCTGCGGTGGAACTCCTTATGGGGCCACGAACCGTGTGAGGAGTGTGCCAAAGAGGCGTCGGGCGCACGCGGCCTGTGCTACAGGGGCCTTCGGTGGCGCTCCCATGGGGCCACGAACCGTGCGAGGGGTGTGCCAAAATGGGCGTCGGGCGCATGCGGCCTGTGCCACTGGTGCCTTCGGTGGAGAGCTTCCTGTCGGGCCACGAACCGCGTGAGGGGTTTGCCAACATGGGCGTCGGGCGCATGCGGTCTGTGCCACAGGGGCCTTCGGTGGAGCTCCCTATGGGATTACAATCCTCGTGAGGGGTGTGCCGACATGGTGTGCATGCGGAGGCCAGAGGCAGGGAGGAGAGGAGAGAGAAGAGGGAGGAAGAGAAGAGGAGGAGGAGGAGGAGGAGGAGGAAAGAACGCGGGGCGCTGTCTTCAAAGCGAGGACCCAACACCACAGGATGGTTGGGAACCATAAACGTGCGGAAGGCAGAGGCCGGGATGGGGGTAGGGAGGAGGCGGGATGACGGAGGCGGGAAGAGAACGCGGGGCGTTTTCTTTTTCCCAACCAACCTGTGTTGTGGGGTCCTCGTTTTGAAGAGACGGTCCCCGCCTTCCTCCTCCTCTCCTCTCCTCTCCTACTCCCCCTCCTCCCTCCTCCTTCCTCCGTTTCCTCTTTGCGTTTCACCCACCCAGTACAGCGTTTCGTCGCCCCATAGGGAGCTCCACCGAAGGCTCCACGTCTACCGTCCGCATGCGTCCCCCCGCCCAGTACAGCGTTTCGTGGCCCTCCTCCCCCTCCTCCCTGCGTTTCACCCACCCAGTACAGCGCTTCGTTGCCCAATACACCGAAGGTTCCATGTCTACCGTCTGCATGCGTCCCCCCCACCCAGTACAGCGCGTTCGTGGCCCTCCTCCCCTTCCTCCCCTGCGTTTCACCCACCCAGTACAGCGCTTCGTGCGTTTACAGCGTTTGGCCTTCCTCCCCTCCCTCCTGCGTTTCACCCACCCAGTACAGCGCTCGTGGCCCCATAGGGAGTTCCACTGAAGGTTCCAGGTCTACCGTCCGCATGCGCTCCCCCCCCCCCGCCCAGTACAGCGTTTCGTGGCCCTCCTCCCCATCCTCCTTGCGCTTCACCAACCCAGTACAGCGCTTCGTGGCCCCACAGAGAGCTCCACCGAAGGTTCCAGGTCTACCGTCTGCATGCGTCCCCCCACCCAGTACAGCGTTTCGTAGCCCTCCT